CATTCCCAGGATTCCTTTTTGGACCCCTTCACGGACCAGGAGCCTATCCAAAGACAGTAATACCTGACATAGATGAGAATCTTTGTTCAGCGTTATTAATAGCCGTGCTCTCCAGCAGGGAAAGGATGGTTAGATGAAGGCTGGTGTGCACGTGATGGACTTTCATTCATTGTGTGAAAGTTAGCTGAGAACAGTACGAATCACAGTAGTATGACTCAGTTTTGTAAAAACATCTCATGACTGAGCTATTGATTCAGCTTGGTTTCTAGGTTGACTTAGAAGCATCATGCTTTTTCAGATTGAAAGATGAATCCTCATCAGTTCACATGAAAAGTGAATCCAAATATTGTAATGAATTCATGAAAATTACAAAATAAATGTAAAGGTACTGTTATAAACATCTGGGAAATCTGTATATTTTTACTTGATATAGTTTTTCGTTTCTTTTTAGTTTATGTCTTTTTTAAGATGAAAAGCAGTACACATTTTAAGACATTGAACCTATATGGAAAACTAAAAGAAGATAGCATGTGATCATCAAAACTCCTACCACTCAGGATAAGTATCATGAGACAGCAAGTCTATTACAGGGAAAACTTTAGGAATACTGTTATCAGTGGGGTTATAGTCCACAGAGTATTTTCATAAAAATAGAAAATGTAACCATTTGATTTAATAGAATTGATAAATTGATGTGAAACTGAAATCATTACTGTATGTCACATAAATATTTATCAAATTAGACCATTCCTTAAGAGACCTTATAAGAATTAAAAAAGAAAAAAATTGAAAAAAAAAGCTTCAAAATATGAAAATAGTATTTATATATTTCTCCCTGCATTCTCTCCTCTACCACAGGAATTTAAGTACAGGTGTGTGCATATACAAATATACATGTGTGTACACATACACACGTGTAGTCTGTTGGGCAGGGTCTGCAGTGTCTACACCAGGGAATCCAACCTCTGCAGAGGCTTCTTTTAGCCGCTGGTGTGGACTCAACACCTACCTGCCACTCCTTTGATTGAGGCTTTTCCAACTTGACTTCTGTGTTTTGATCTCTTGGTTGGTTAATTTTGTTATCAGGTGGTTCTTTTCAACATGGGCAATGGGTATTTATTTTCTGATTTTTCTTTCAGGATGAGAATACCTGTGTTTTGCCCTTAGTCTCAAAGTAAAACTTGGCTGAACATAAATTCTTGGATCATACTCTTCCTTTCCTTTAGTACTAGCTCCTAATCTTCTGTTCTGTTGTCTTCTGGCAGGAATGTCACAGTGGTCCTCATACCACGATTTCCCTCTGGCTCTTTTGGGGGCTGGATTTCATCATGACTCCCTGTCCCAGGAAGGCACATGAGCCCCACATTTCTGCACTGTTCGTATGTGGGAAGGCCACGCACCTTGCTTCCACTTAAGGGGTGACTTAGCTGGTGTGGTGTCCATGGGTCACATTTACCTGTAGAACCCCTAGGGTGTGTCACTCCAGGTTAGCTTCATCCTCTGCTTTATGCCTGTGTGATTGAGAACTTAAAAATACTTCTACTTAGTCCTTACTTATGAAAGATATTTCTTGTTATCTGTTAATTCTGTTCAAATTTGTTTAGGATCCTGTGTCATATTTCTAATTGTGGTTTTCAATGCTTTCTTCGTGTCACAGACCCTTCCTTCCATTATGTCTTTGAAGTTATTTTGTTTCCTGTTTGTTTCTGTTCCATTTGGTGTTGTCTGGTGCATCTTCTTCCCTAACCAGCCAGTTGTCCTTATACTGAATCGTCTTTTTCCATCCTGTCTGTTATCTGTTCTCTGACTTTCCCAGTCTCACTCCCCGCTCCTTTGGTTTCAGTGTGATTGTCTCAGATCTTCTGTGGTAAGGATTCTCTTTGATATGTGTCTGCTTTGACAGCTGCTAGTCCTGCCTGACTTCTAGGTTTTGCGATGCTGCTATTTTAATTCTCAGCTGGGGTTATGACCTCTGCAGTACTCTGGAAGGGAGGGAGTGATTTTGCTGTTACCTCTTCTCATCTTGTTATGATCAGAAGAAGATATGCTGGGCATGGCTTTTCTCCACTTTTTGGCCCAGAAGCCTGCTGGGCGATTTTTGAGCAAAAATACAATTTCATGTTATTTTTTCTAATGTTTACTATTTCTAGGCCAAGCTTCAACAACAATGTATTTAAATAACATTTACAAAAATTTTTCAAGTTTTTCACCTGTAAAAATACATTTATTACATTATATCATTGTTGATCAAAGTGCTTCTGTTTATAAAGCACTCTGATATTTAAACTTTTGAGTTAAGTGTATTGAAATACCCAAAGTAAGTTGTAGAGACAAAGAAGAAAAAAAAAAAAGATGGTTTTTACAGGTAAAACAGAAATAATATTTTAGAATTAATTAAGGCATGGCTGTTTTTCTTAGCTATAGTTCAAAGTAATGTTGAAACTCTGGAAGTTACTAGGGTTCATGAGTTCGGCAGCTGGCCATTGTCTTTTTCTGTATTTCCCTAGAGTATATACAAATGTACAATCTCCCCACACGATTTTTGTCACTGTTTCAAGACCAGGAAGCAAGGGCACAATCTTGTGATTTGGGACTTCACAGGTGCAGACTGGAAGGGTGGGAAAGTCACTGCATGAGCTCCTGGGCTCGGCAGTGGCATTGGTTAGAAAGTGATGGATGCAGAGATTTGGTTGAACTTAGACAAGGATGCTAAGAAAGCCGACCTCGTTCAGAAAGGCGCTCACTTCCCTGTGTGGTAGGTACTGCACTTCCCGTTTGTCCTGGAGACATTTGTCTTTGTAGGTTTTCTTAGCCCCTTCTGCGTGTCTGTGGTGGCTGCTGTTACTGCTTGTGTTACAGATGAGAGGTCTTGAGTTCAGGGGGTCAAGTTTGGCTGCAGAGTTAACATGGGTGAGTCCAGATCACGTCCTCAGCAGTTGGAACCTAGAGCTCTTCAGTGGGTCCCTGCATTTGAGGAAAGACAGAGATAAGCAAGTACTGTTTTTCTATCTGGTTTGCAAAGAACATTTTCAATAGTTCCTCAGGGTCCTATGACCTCATGCTATAGTTAAGGAGAAAGAAGTCCTATTGAAATGGCCACAGATAACATGTTTAACTAAACCCATGCTGAGAAAATTGTCTGCATGAAATGAATGACTTGCTGTTAAGAGAGTCAAGCTGTGGGGGAAGACCAGGTTTGAGTAGGGCCAATAATCAGGAAAAATTACTCAACAGCCACTTACAGAAGGATGCCTGTCTGCGTGGCCTGGAGGCAGGTGCCTGGAAGGTCGACGAGGCCAGGACCGGGTGATGCATCTGGTTTCCCTTCCTGACACACGAGTGCAGGGCTTGGTCCCCACAGGCTGGCTCTGACGACAGCCTGGAGTGAGTCTGGTTCCTGAGGGCAGCGGCCCCGGGATTCCCCAGTCCTTTGTTATTCCGTAAAGGGACAAGAAAGGACAAACCAGAATGAGAAGGAGAAATTGTGAAGGACACAGGGAGGGTGGCTGATGGGACAAGATGGCCACAGGGAGCTGTGACAAGTAACGGGGGAGGGCTGCGTGGGGGGAGCAAGGTCGCAGTGTCCACAGGGCCGGGGCCTCCTGGTGACCCAGGCTGCTGCGGCCCTGCAGCGGTTTTGTGCTCCTCCAGGGCCTCTGCTGTGACCCGGACACCAGCATGCTGTCAGGCAGGGGTGGACAGAGCCTGGCAGCCTGGGTGAGCCAACCTGCCCTGCGCAACCCCCGCTTCACCCCACATTGTGAGACGCCTCGTGGGGGACATCCCAAGGCCTGGGAGTAGGCCACCACTGTGAGCAGCACTTCCCAAAGGCTGGATCTCTAGCAAATCCATCTTGTTTGGTTTCTGTGACCGTGTGACAAGCCACTTCAGCAGCTAGAAGCAGCAGTCATTTCCAGGGACTGCGGGCCACCTGGCTCAGGTCGGTGGCTCTCTGTCTGTGACTGGGACTGTGGTCAGGGTGGAGGGGCCAGAGGTCCACCCAAGGCTGCAGTAGCGCTGCCACCAGCCGGCCAGTCGTTGAGGGCTGTGTCTGTTCCACGCCACCACCCACGAGGCTTGGCTTTGCCACATGGCATCTGGGTTCTAAGTGGAACCACTGGGTTAATAATTACATAACATTCTGTCAAGAGGCATTCCCAGACCCTTTCTCAACTATGTCTTTATCATCATGTTTTAGTGAAATTATATTTTTATTTTGGTGTGCTCATCCCTCTCTCCAGTTATACGTTTTACCAGAACCAGAAATGTATTTACTTGAAACCTCTTATACCTGCTTTTCTCCTTGCGTGGTGCCTGGCACCAAGTGTCCAACGCATGTCGGAACAGAGCTGACATTTAGGTTGTTTCCGATCCTTTCGCTTTTACAGTGTTAAAATGAAAACATAATTTTAAAATTTCCTGTTCTAATTAAAATTTCCCTAGAATTGTTCCTAGAAATGAAACTGCTGGCTCACAATATATGCATGGTTTAGACTCTTGCTATGTGTCTCCAAGCTACATTCCTCAGGGCCCATGCAACTTTATATCACCACTGGCAAATACCTTCATAGCAGCATAGCCAGCATTTGGTGATTTAAATTTTGTGTTTTATCTTCATAAATCTGATAACCTATAAGACGTTTCATTAGTGCTTTAATTTGCATTTTTTAATTCTTTTTACAATATAAAGTAGGTGAAGTCTAGCTTGTCAAGTACATGTGTGATTTTGGTGTTGTCATGGAGTGTTATATTCAGCGTAGAACTCAGAGGTTGAAGGAGGGCTGTGGACTCTAGTGTGTGCTCTGGGACACTGGGAGTCTCAGGTAGTCTGACAGCTCCTAGCGTGGGGCAGTCAGGCTGTATTCACACTCTCCCACCAAGCCTCTGGGTCCGTCAGAGAATAGAGCTAATTGCCAATCTAATTACACTTTCTTATGAATTTATGAGCATTTTCCTGTAAGTGCAGAAGCTTCTTTGATGCTGGGTTGACGTTATACCAGCGAAGTACAGCGCACCCTGCATCAAGCTCTGCCCTGTTTTGTACAAGCTGCTCAACACGCCTTTTACCTGCTTGTCATGCTGTCAGAACACTGTCATGATGCCCTGTATCCTCCAAGTGTGTCGGAACACGGGTGTCAAACAGTGACAGACGCACGGGCACAGCGCAGGGAGACAAGTCAGAGGCACCACCGGGGCGTGGGTCCTGACTGCGGGGGGCTGATCCGGACCTCCCTGCGGGAAGCCACAGGCAGGGCGGGCTCCCTGGTCTGGAGAGGCCTGGCTGGACAAGGCAAGGACTCAGGGGCAGCCTTGGTGGGAGCACACTGGGCGCTCTGTGCCCCGGGACCCCCCGTGGGTCTGTAACCCTCTCAGAGGAAACCCGGCACATCCGCAGTCAGAGCCCAGGGGCTGAAAGCAGCCAACGGCGCCATTGGTGGGCACCCTTTCTGCTGCTTCCCTAATGGGTGACGGCGTGCGCTCCGAGGGGACCGTGATCAGCCTGCGGGGGTGCAGTGAGCCCAGCCCTGTGCTTCCTGCTCAGGGGTCACAGCACAGAGGAGGCCGGAGGCCCGGCCACCACCCCCTACACCCCCCTGCCTCTGGGGCCGCCTGCCCAGCGCCTGGGCCCCTGCCTGTCCTGGAGAAGCACCCCTCACCTGGTCGGCACGGCACACCTCACGTTCTTAACAAGTTCCCATCCTGGAATTTGGCATCACAAATGTTTTCTGGGAGCGTGGTTCAGATGTCTGACCTCTGGCATGAGTCCTAGGACTTAGGTTTTAATGGCGCGCAATTGAGGTCAATGAGAAGTTGGGCAGAAAACCAGCCCGGGATGCTGTTAATGCAGAGAAAGCTGCCTTCATGACGTGGGTTTTGCGCGGGCACCCCGTGTCTCAGGGCTGGCCCGTCATGGGTGCTCAGCGCCATCTCTGCTGCCATGGTTCCTGGGGGCAGGCGTCACTTGCAGGAGGACCAGGCGCCAGCTCGCTGCATCTGGTGTGCTCACCCGTCTCTCCAGTTATAAAGACAAACACTTCCTTCATCCGAGGCTGGACCTGAGGGCCTGGAGCCATGCGGTCAGGGTGGCTCCAGGTATGCAGGGACCCCTGTAAAGGTGCAGGTGCAGGCGTGTTCTCTGCGGGCATCTGGGGTGCAGGCAGCAAGCACCCCAGAGCTGGCCGCTCCACCCTCTGTGTGTGGGGAGCATCAGGAAGGTGACTGATTCAGTCACGGGGCAAGACATTTTGTCTCAGCTAAAATCGTGACTTTAGGGGACAGCAGTTTGGTTAATTTTGAGTCCAGAAACATGAGACTTTGTTTCTCAAACTCCATAGCAAAGGCATTTTAAAAGGCAAAATGCGCTGTAATGGTCAGGGTAGCACCTGTCCTTTGGTGCTTGGTGTTGGAGGAGGCGTTACCTCTATGGAGCTGATGTGTTCTTTTCCTGGTTCGGGTTAGAGAGGCTTTGAGTCTGTGCTCTCAGGTTGTGGGCTGAAAATGACATAACTCTTCAGGCTCAAATAAGTTTTTATGTATTTCCCATTTTTCATCCAGATTGATTGGTGAAGTAGGGTCCTGATCTATTTTGCCTTTGGACATATTTGTTTTTAAAATAGGAAGCACTTAAGAAATTCAGGGTCAAGGTTTTGATAAAGAGGTAAATGTCTCTTAGGAAAAAAAACATCAATTAAAAAGGTCATTTGGAAATTTGATTGCAATTAGTTTCTATGAAGACATTAAACTATTTCAGGTTTCTTTGACGCTGATTTTACAACTAGTATCTATTAATGTGAGAACTGATACCAGTTGCATCATAGGATTTTAACAGAATCATGGTCATAGTCTAATAAGATGTGATTCAGAAATTGTGTTCTTGAAAAGGGAACAAAGTGAGTGTTTGCACATAAATGGTATTTTGTTGTTGATTTGCTGTAATTTCAAATGCAGTTGAACACACTAAAGACATGCCTTTAAGTCCTGCTGATATGTAGGGGCCCTGCCCTGTGGTGGACGTGGCTGTCCTGCGTAGTCAGGGTGTGCCTCCACGGTTGGTGAGCCGCCGTCCGCTCTCCACAGTCAGCTGCCCTGCTTGGGGAAGGGTGGAGAGCCGCCGCCAGCCTCAGGCAGCGCCTTGCTGGCCTTTGAGGGCAGCCTGGTGCAGGTGAGGGGCTCCGCTGGGCCGCTCCTCCTGTGCCGACTGCTCACCCCGACCAGAGGCTGAGCGGAACAGGAGGGGCAGCAAGCAGGGCCCGTGGGCACAGGCCTCATCTGCCAGGCCCCCAAGACCCTGGGCGGGGAGCCTGCATCCCACGCCTTACTTTGTTTCGGGGGGTTTATGTGCTGTGTGTCATCAGCATGGATGGGGGTCCCTGACGGGTGGCCCAGCGTCAGGAGACCCTGTTCTTTGTTTTGGTCTAAGGGCCTCCTTTATAAAATGTCTTGTCATCTGCACCTCCCTGTGTTTTTTGGGGTCTTGGCTCCTGGATTCACTGGCAATGCTGTTCTGTTTCTTGTGCCGCCTCTCATTCCTCCTCTCCTTCAATAAATTTGACTCACTTCCTGTTATAATTGAGGTCCACTTAGAACGTATGTCAGGAGACACCAGTTCCCATTTTATTAGAAAGTTCTGTAGACTTTGGAGAGGTGGCTGTGTAATCAATAGTGGTAGCTCTTTTATGGCAGTTGATTTGACCTGAGGAACAAATGATTTTTTTGAAGGCAGCTCCAGCCATTGAGGATTTGATGTCTTATTAGTCAGCCTGCTGGCCCCTGGCTGCTCTGTGAGTGGTCTCTACCATCCGGTCCAGCCAGGCCCCCTCACCCTCCACCTAGATCTAGGGGTGCAAGGCCCCCCTCCAGTTCTGCACATACCAGGTGGTAAGCACACATTCCTCTCTGCAGACATTAAAGTTAATTCCTCCCAAACTAAAGACTCCTTGATTTAGTAACCTGTGACATTTAAACATGGTTCATGATTTTCATCTTCATTGGCTACTTAATTCTAGATCTTGTTCTTCCTTAGAAATATTTTGTTACTTCAAAGGAAACCCATTTCAACTGTCACTTCAACTCAAACATCATTGCTCTTTGGGATTTTCACTTCTTGTCTGTTAAGAACTGTTTGGTGCCTCATTTTGTGGATTTACTTTGCAAACCCATACGTCTGACTAGTGCAGCAAGGAGCAGCTGCAGCTGACGCAGTTGTTATTGAAGACAGTCCACAGGGCAGTCCTGGACTTGGGTGCTGGTGGACACGCTTCTGGGAAGCACTGGCCCGGACCTGGGAGCTGGTGGACATGCTTCTGGGGAGCACTGGCCTGGCCCCTCTTGTCTCCTTGCATCATGGAGGAAGCAGCGGAGAAGGTCAGTCCTGGTAAAATGGGCCCTGTCTCCCCTCTGTGGGGAGCGTCTGAGCACCTGTCACAGGCCATCATAACTGCTGTAGATGCTTGCTGTCATATAAGCCTTAGTCTTCCACAGTGAACACAAACAGCTTTTTCATGTGGTACCTGGGACGCGTGCTGTATCACATGTCCCTCTTCACATGTACACACAGGTGGCTCTCATACCTCCTGCTTTTTGGTGCTCAGACATCTCTCCCCACCACGGTTCTGCATCTTGAGGTAACTGCACCAGGCTGAGAAGTGCCCGGACCGGAGCCGCTCCATTGCGATAATTCCACAATGCAAGGTTTCACCAAGAGTCTCAGGCAGAAGAGTGCTGTCTCCCTGTGTCTGGAGTATGACCCTCCCATCTGGATGGGGACCAAGAAGAGTTTGCTGCCCTCACCTGGTAGTGGAGACCACTTCTGGGTTGAAGGTGAGTCACTGATGCCAGGATTTAGTGATTCTGTGGAACATGCCTGCTTCTACTGTGGATTCTGTGAACGGTTCACAGACTTGGCTTCTGTGTGATTGTGCTTATAGAGATGAGAGCAGTTTGTGTTCTGTCATGTTCTCTCCCCTCAGTGTGCTGTGTGCTGCTGCTTCTGCCCACTGCAGTTGGATGCAGGGCCGGCACTTCCCCGTGGCATCCAGGGTGATGTGCACGTACTAGTTTCCACTCTGAGTGCAGCCCGCTGCCACTTACCCTAGTTAGTGAGAGCCTGCTCAGTGCAGCCAGAAGGTTTCAGAAGCCTCCCACACATACCGTCTCTCCTGATGCTGTGCTGAATCTCACAGGGCGACGAGGCCTCGGGGATCATGACCATGTAGTTTATTGGCTAAGTCGGGGTGTGTTTGAGAGTGAGAGGGATCCTAGTAACAGTGTGATTGGCGTCTGGACTGACAACACTGGGACGTCTGGTCACTGATGTTAGGAATTGTAGGGTTTAAAGGGCTGAAAACCCACTCACACTGTCTGCAGCAAAATGAGAGGCTGGTTGGTCCACACTGCCCTCCAGCTCTGGGCTTACGTGCATGTCCACACTCTGGAGCTGGACAGAATCTCTCTGCAGATTTAAAGTTCCTAAGAGGGGGTATCTGTTTGGCCCAGTATGGCCGGGGTCCACCCTGCTTCACCCTGTATCACAGGCTGCTCCCCGAGGCCCCGAGAGCAGGCAGAGAGATTAATCAGTCTCCCACTGGGACAAGGTGTCCTTACACACATCTCCTAGATGAAGAAACTGGGAGGAAGAGGTGTGGTAACTTGCCAAAGGCACCTTGTGAGCTCAGATGGAAAACCAAAGGGCTTGTTTGTCCTGGAAGTTTGTTCCTGTGATGGTCATGTGTTTACAGAGCAATTGATACTAATTTCAATATTAATTTATTCCTGAATAAAGGGTTCCGGTGAGGGCGACATCTTAAATATTGAGAAGAGGTGGTTGTGCTTGGCATTAGAAGCACAAGGAGGCTCCCAGTGCATGTGGTTTCCTAATTTTCCGGCAAGTAAAGATCAGAAGCTGCCAGCCATAAAGTACAATACATTTTGGGAAATGATCACAGAAGCAGAGCTGAGGTGACCTGTTTCATTTCTAGGTGACAGGAATGCTTCGTGAGACACAGACAGGACTTGGCCTGTGGCGTTCTCTTACTGACTTTCAGCAGAAACTCCCTGTTGTCTGTGGGTTGGGTCTACTGTGCTGAGCTCAGCTAACATCTTTGGACTAGTCATTGGAGTGGCTTTCCCCTAATTATAGACCAGTAAGTTATGGGCAAGCAGAAACCCGTGTTGGCAGCCAGAGGCCTGGATAAACCTTTTTATCACTGATGTGATACAAAGAGTTCAGGAGTCAAAATAATTTGCTAAATTCGTAACTCAGCTAAGACTCAGAAATACTTAGGGTCAAATTGTTAGGTTGTTAGAATAGGAAACAGGAGTCCACAATGGCGGTGGCTAAAAGATAAGGAAGGGAAAAGCCCGCG